TCTTGCATATACTGTTTGGGTACAGAGTCCCGGCCCATACGCAGAGAGAGTCCTTCGGGTCATTAATGGATCCACTCCTATAAAAAGATTCTGTCACGGTGAACGCACACTTCTTCCAAGCACTCTCGCCATGAAGACGCCAACTTACTTTTCCGTCAGTGTCCTCACACGAAATATCCACCAACACCTCCGCTCCCCCTGCTGTTTCAGCCGCAGCTGTGATGCAGAAGAAGCCGCTGCAGCAGCACAGCACGCAGAGGGCACACACCAACAGCACACGGCCAGCCATCCCCACTCTTGTCACCGCAGCAAAGACACACACACACGCACAGTCTAGCGAGGGGCAGAGAGAAGAGAGGAGGGTGAGAAGAGGAACACACAAAAACACTAAGAGATGGCAATGACAGACAAACCACTCGAAGCCGAACGTCACACACACCGCAGCAGCCGCACCATCGCCACTCGCACACCTCATTTATTGTCCGCCCACTCCAAAATACGCCCCCATCGTGCGAGGAAAAGACACACGCGGAGGAGAAGCCGGCCGCACAGCGCACCCACACACCCGCAACGCGAAGGACGGGGCGAATCCACGTCCACCGCACAGTCTGCCGCTGCCGCACATTTGCCCTCACCGATCCGCATCACACCGCACGGCAGGCTGCGATGGGTGGTGCCCCACACACTCGCAACATGACACGCCGCACACCCCGCCCATTCTCTCCCTCCGCAGCGGGCGGCTTCAAAGCAGCCGCCACACGCCCCACCACTCCCGTGCCATCGCAGCGAAAAACTAAACGGCTCCTCCTCGTGGACTACCGGTGCCTCTAGCCGGAAAAAGAAGAAGAGAAATGGGGGCATGTCAGCAGCACAGCCAGCAGCGGGAGCAAACAAAACATGGAGACACGCAGCGACGGTGGCGGACACGGCGCAAACTAAAAGTGAGCTGGAGTGATTTACCAAACAAAAAAAAGGAACAAAATTAAAGTGGAAAGCTCAGGAGAATTCCTGGCGGAAACAAAAACAAAAGATAAATAAATTACTTCGGCAGGCGTTTTTCCTTCGCGTGTCCAAAAGCCCAAGAGGACGGTGTCTGTGTATTGCCTGCGCTGAATAAAAAGGAAAAAAAAAAGGACCGCCGTGATCCACAAGCCCGCACATCCCTCCCACACTTCGTGCAGCATGCGGCCTGCGCTTCAACGCGTCGGCTGCGTCGTCAGTGGGGCGCACAGCAATGCGGCCGCCACCCATGACACAGCGCGTAAAGCAAACGGCCATTGAAGCAGAAAGCAAATAAAGAAAAAAAAAACTAGAAGATGCCGATTGTCCCAGCAAACCACCGGACAGCAAGAAAAAACAAAAACAAAACAAAAAAAGAATAGTAGTTAACGAAGACGAGTACGCGGTACGGTACTGCAGCACACAC